GAGTTGAAGCTTTAATACCAATACACACACACACACACACACACACACACACACACACACACACACGAAACACCAAAGCTTTATGACAGGACAACTCCTTTGCCCATCACCTTCATAATAACAATTTTGAAAATCATGAATCATTGCTGGTGCCAATAGCTCACATCTGTCATCCTAGCTACTCAGGAGGCTGAGATCTGAGGATCACAGTTGAAAGCCAGCCTGAGCAGAAAAGTCCATGAGACTCTTATCTCCAATTAACCACATGTATCTGTCTACCTATGTATGTATGTATCTATCTATCTATCCTTCTTTCTATCTTTGTTTGTATGTATGAATGTATGTATCTACCTACCTACCTACCTATCCATGTATCTATCTACCTATCTATATATCTACCTATGTATGTGTATGCATGTATGTGTCCTATCTATCTATCTATCTATCTATCTATCTATCTATCTATCTATCTATCTATCTATATTTGTATGTATATATATGTATGTATGTATCTATCTATCTATCTACCTACCTACCTAGCCATGTATCTGTCTACCTATCTATGTATCTACCATGTATCTGTCTACCTATGTATGTATGTATGTATGCATGTATGTATCTATTTATCTATCTACCTACTTACCTAGCCATGTATCTATCTACCTATCTATGTATCTACCATGTATCTGTCTACCTATGTATATATGTATATATGTATGTATGTATCTATCTATCTATCCTTCTTTCTATCTTTGTTTGTATGTATGTATGTATGTATCTACCTACCTACCTATCTATGTATCTACCTATCTACCTTTGTATGTGTATGCATGTATGTATGTATGTATGTATCTGTCTGTCTGTCTGTCTATCTATCTATCTATCTTTCTAGATAGATCTTTCTTTTGTGTTGTTCTGGGGCTTGAACTCAAGGCCTGGGTGCTGTCCTTGAGCTTTTTATGTTCAAGGCTAGCGCTCTACCACTCTGAGCCACAGCTCTACTTCTGGTTTTATAATGGTTAACTGGAGATAAGAATCTCACAGACTTTCCTACCTGGGCTGGTGTTTAATAGTGATCCTCAGATCTCAGCCCCCTAAGGTGCTAGGATGACAGGTGTGAACCACAAGAATCTGGACAAAGTGTTTTAAGAAGGGAGAGTTTGAATATAGGAGAGAGACAGGGGGTGGGTATTTGGTTATGATATGTTGTATACATACATGGAAATGTCACAAGGAATCTCCCCACCTCCATACAACTAATATGTGCTAATAATGATACATATGTCTGTAATTAAACATACATACCTATTCATATTATAATTAGAAAATTCTATCATCATCATCATCATTAGCCAGCAAGGAAAGATTTGACATAGTGAATTTGGGTTCAGTAATTGCAAGCACAAAACTCCACCGGGTTGAGCAAAACAGATAACAGAATCACTATTGGAAAAATTAGAACTAGTCGGGAGCTGGTGACTCACGCCTGTCATCCTAGCTACTCAGGAGGCTGAGAGCTGAGGATCTTGGATCGAAACCATCCTGGAAGGAAAGACTCTAAGACTCTCATGTCCACTAAACTACCAAAAAAAGCTGGAAGTGGAGTTCTGGGTCAAGTGGTAGAGAGCTAGCTTTGAGCAAAAGAAGGTCAGGGACAGTGCCCAGGCCCTGAGTTCAAGCCCCAGGACTAGCGTGCACCCCCCACCCCCCCCACAAAATAGAACTACTGGAAACATTACAATAAAAATGAACAAGCAAGTCATTGTTGGAGAGGTCAGGAAAGGCCTGATTCTAAAGATAGAATCTGGATTGTCTTTAAAAGACAAGCTATATTTTGAGCAGAGTAAAGTTGGTAGAAGGGAGGTTGAGGGAAATGATTGGTGTACAGAGGGTTCAGAAAGGGTCAGAGAGGACACAGACTGGTTGCTTAGAGCACAGTGTGGATGTGTTAAGAAGCTGAGGATTAATAGCAGCTATTATTAGACAGCCAATGAGGAGCGAGGCCGGAAAGTTGAAACTGGATATGGAGTAGGTTTGCAAAGAATCCTAGGTCTTCCCCCCCACTCCTTGTTTGCAAGGATAGGAGGAGGAGGAGGAAGAGGAAGAGGAGGAGGAGGAGGAAAGAAGCAACCTCCCGTTGCCAAGTGCTGGTGGCTTATGCCTATAATCTTAGGTACTCAGGAGGCTGAGATCTGAGGATCACAGCTCCAAGCTAGCCCGGGCAGGACAGTTTGTGAAACTCTTATCTCCAGTTAACCACCACAAAGCCGGAAGTGTGGCTCAAATGGTAGAGTGCTCAGGGACAGCACCCAGGCCCTGAGTTCAAGTCCCAGGACCTGGCGGAGGGTGAGGGAGGGTTGGGGAGAGAGAGAGAGAGAGGGAGATCTATTTTCTGCTCACTGCTAAGGAATTGGGAATTGGGAGTAAGGACTCTGTGAACTCTAGGTTTTTCAATGGGGAAAGCTGAGAGCAATGTTTGTTTTGACTCTGTGTGTGTGTGTGTGTGTGGGCATGTATGCGCGTGCACACGTGCATGCATACTGGGGCTTGAACTCAGGGCCTAGGTGCTGTCTCTTAGGTTTTTCACTCAAGGTCAGCACTCTACCACTGGAGCCACAGCTCTCCTTCTGGATTCTGGGTGGCTAATGGCTGATAAGAGCCTGCCTGGGCTGGCTTTGCACCTTGAGCCTCAAATCTCAGCCTCCTGATGATCTAGCATTACAGGCGTGAGCCACTGGCACTTGGCTGTTTTGAATCTTTGAAAGACAGGCTCATGTTACAGTGATATAATCCAGATGGTTTCAGGGGACTGATTGGGGTAGTTTGGATGTGGGCACAATATTCTCCATCAGAATTCACAATATCCAGAATCATCAAGTTAAATGGAATTAAAAAAAAAAAAAAAAAAGCCCAGGGCTGGGAAGGTGGCCAGTGGTAGAGCGCTTGCCTTGCATGCATGAAGCCCTGGGTTTGATTCCTCAGCACCACAGAAGCAGAAAAAAAAGCTGGAAGTGGCGCTGTGGCTCAAGTGGTAGGGGCTAGACACAGGCCTAGAGTTCAGCCCCACGACTGACAAAAAAAAAAAAAAAGCCTAATCAATATTTCAAAGACAATAACAATAATAATTAATGACCAAAGGGGAGTTTGATGGCAGAAAAGGCAATTCAAGAATATTCCTAGAGCTAGCAGGTGCCAGAGTCTCATGACTGCCATCTTAGCTACTCAGGAGGCTGAGATCTGAAGATCGCAGTTCAAAGCCAGCCCAGGCAGGAAAGTCTGTGAGACTCTTTTCTCCAGTGAACCACCAGAAAACAGGAAGCGGCGCTGTGGTTCCAAATGGTAGAGCACTACTCTTGAGCAAAAGAACCTCAGGGACAGTGCCCGGGCTCTGAGTTCAAGCCCCATGACCTACCAAAAAGAGGAAGAAGAAAAGCTATTCCTTGGCTCCTACCTAGCTAAGGAAGTAGAAAGATGGCAGCATATCCCAAAACATGAGGGCGAGGAAAACGTAAGTAAGGAGAGGAAAAAAATCTGTTTTAAGCTGAAGCATGGCTTGAAGTGGAAATGTCCCATAAGCCTTTGGGGAATATAGAATATTCAGATTCTGGTGTTAGGAGTGAGAATGTCAGGGAACCTCCCCGCCCGCCCCCCATGATGCCTAGTAGCTGATAGGAGGGGAGGGGGGCTTTTTAGAAAAAAGAAGCAGTAAATAGAACTGAACAGTTGGCTTTCCAGATGGTGCCAGGGAACAGAATTGCATTGGGTTTCTGGGCCACGGTTTAAGAGGTTTGGCAAAGGACCAAGATGTCAAGAGTCAAAAAAAAAAAAAAAAGCTTTTTCTCTTCTCCCATTTCTCTCTCTCTCTCTCTCTCTCTCTCTCTCATCTTTTGGAGGGAATAGGGAAGAGGAACCAAAAAGAAATGTACTCATTCATTATCTGACTTATGTAACTTTAACTCCTCTGCATGCCACCTTTATTATAAATAATATTTTTTTAAAGTGTGACATTTTCCCTACTCAATAATATATAACTGGGCACTGGAGACTCAAGTCTATACTCCTGAGATCTGACGATCATGGTTCAAAGCCAGGCCAAGCAAGGAGGAAAGTCCATAAGACTCTTGTCTCCAATTAACCTCCCAGAAAGTTGGAAGAGGGGCTGTGGCTCAAGTGGTAGAGCACCAGCCTTGAATGAAACAGCTAAGGAAAGTGTTCAGGCCCTGAGTTCAAGCCCCAAGCCCCGGTACCAGCACACCCACACACACCCCGCCCCACACAGATAACGAATATACTTTTCTGTGTCAGTAGATACCCACATTGCTACATTATCATTTGAATTTTTTAAAAATTATTTTTATTTTATAAGACAGTGTTGGTTTTGTTTTTAATGTAAGAAAAGCAATCAGTATGTCAAGATGGGAAATAAAGTTGACTGAGGGTTCAAGCCCTACAGCTGACAAAAAAAAATAAAAGAAAAAATTAAAAAAAAGTTGACTAAGACTAAGGATGAATAGAATGAGAGATGGCTAGAGACGGGAGTGAAAAATCTTTCTTTCTTTCTTTCTTTCCCTCCCTCCCTCCCTCTCTCTCTCCTTCCTTTCCCTCCCTTCTTTCCTTTCTTTCTTTCTTTCATCATGGGGCTTGAACTTGGGCCTGGGTGCTATCCCTGAGTTCCTTTTGCTCAAGGCTAGTGCTCTACCACTTGAGCCACAGCACCACTTTCAGTCTTCTGGTGGTTCATTGGAGATAAGAGGTTCACGGACTTTCCTGTCTGGCCTGGTTTTAAACCGTGATCCTCAGATCTCAGCCTTCTGAGTAGCTAGAATGACAAGTATGAGCCACCAGCCCCCAGCTGAAAGTGAAAACCTTTTACGTTATTTCTCCACCTTTGTGACAATCTCTTTTCTATCATTGAATTAGTGCACAGTATTATAATAGAAGTCGAGTCTCTCACAGTAGAGTGAATATACATATGTCTTTATTTTTCTTTCTTTAACTAGGCTCGATTATCTGAAGGCATGGATACTTCTCAATCCAAACCATATCCAGTGAAAAAACGGGTGAAAATACATCCCAACACCGAGATGGTAAAATACACCTCTCACTATCCACAGCCCGGAGATGACAGCTATGAGGAAATCAATGAAGACTATGGGAATTTTCTAGAAGAAAACCCCAGGAAAGGGCTGCTGAGTGAAATGAGAAGGAAAGGAAGAACTTTCTTTGGCACGATAGACCCTCAGCCTGTCTCCACAGAAGACACAAGGACCAATGAGATGGGCCAATTCCAGGGATTGGCAGAAAAGAACCTCTTTCAGTCTCGAAAAATGTGGATCGTGTTGTTTGGATCTGCTTTAGCCCATGGCTGTGTGGCTCTCATTACCAGGCTTGTTTCCGATCGTTCGAAGGTTCCATCCTTAGAGCTCATCTTTATCCGTTCTGTCCTGCAGGTCTTATCTGTGTTCGTTGTGTGTTACTACCAGGAGGCTCCCTTTGGGCCTAGGGGGTACAGGTTACGCCTCTTCTTTTACGGGGTATGCAATGTCATCTCGATCACCTGCGCTTACACGTCATTTTCCATCGTTCCTCCCAGCAACGGGACCATCATGTGGAGAGCCACCACCACAGTCTTCAGCGCCATCTTGGCCTTCTTACTCATCGATGAGAAAATGGCCTGTGTGGATTTGGCCACTGTGGTTTGCAGCATCGTGGGGGTGTGTCTTGTCATGATCCCCAACATTGTGGATGAGGACAATTCTTCGTTGAATGCTTGGAAGGAAGCCTTTGGGTACACCATGACTGTGATGGCCGGAATGACCACTGCGCTTTCTATGATCGTGTATCGATCCATCAGAGAAAACATCAGCATGTGGACAGCCCTGTTTACCTTTGGTTGGACTGGGACCCTCTGGGGACTGTCGACCATGTTTGTTCTTCAAGAACCCATCATCCCGTTAGACGGAGAAACGTGGAGTTACCTCCTCGCCATCTGCGTCTGCTCTACCGTAGCCTTCTTAGGGGTATATTATGCGTTGGACAAATTCCATCCTGCTCTAGTTAGCACGGTGCAGCATCTGGAGATTGTGGTAGCTATGGTCTTGCAGCTTGTGGTGTTACAGATATTTCCGAGCGTGTATGATATCTTCGGAGGGGTGATCATTATGATCAGTGTGTTTGTCCTTGCTGGCTATAAGCTTTACTGGAGGAATTTAAGAAGGGAAGATTATCAGGAAATACTAGAGTCTCCCATTAAATGAGTATAGGGTTCATATTGTCTGGTTAATGTCCACTTATGAACATGTTAACACTGCCATTTTAGTGTTTACCTATAAATGTCATTTGTGTTATATAATTAAGAGAGAGCTATATAATATATAATTAAATATATGCAGATGCAGAAAAATTATTCGTCTTAATATATTTGAGGATAAATATTAAATAAGAGATGATCTCACGAATCTCGTGTCTTTGCAGTTATTAACATAAAGGTAATGTGCAGCTGGGCGCTGATGGTTCACACCTGTAATCCTAGCTACTCAGGAGGCTGAGATCTGAGAATCACAGTTCAAAGCCAGCCCAAGCAGGAAAGTCCGTGAGCCTCTTATCTCCAATAAAACACCAGAAAACCAGAAGTGGCGCTGTGGCTCAAGTGGTAGAGTGCTAGCCTTAAGCTGAAGAGCTGAGGGACAGCGCCTAAGCCCAGAGTTCAAGCCCCATGATGGGGGTGGGGGAGTAGGAAGGTAATATGGGAAAGAATAATGTCAGTTTCGATCACTGAAGAACAAAAGAAAGATTTGTCAAATGCCTGTGGTTCATGCCTATAATCCTGGTCTGTTCTCAGGAGGCTGAGATCTGGAAGATTGAGGTTTGATGCTAGCTTTGGCAGAAGAGTCTATTAATACTTTTTTTTTTTTGCTGGTCATTGGGCCTGAACTCTGGGCCTGGGCACTGTCCCTCAGCTCTTCAGCTCAAGGCTAGTGCTCTACCACTTGAGCCACAGCACCACTTCCGGCTTTTTCTGTTTATGTGGTGCTGAGGAATCGAACCCAGGGCCTCATGCTTGCAAGGCATGCAATCTACCGCTGAGCTACCTTCCCAGCCCTCTATTAATACTCTTATCTCTAGGATAACTAGCAAAAAGCTGGATTGGTTGCATGGCTCAAATGATAAGAGTTCTAGCTGAGCTCAAGCCGGTTCAAGGCCCTGAGTTCCTATCTTCATATCTCAGTACCAAAAAAAAAAAAAACCAAAACACCAAAACCACCTCAAAAAACAAACAAACATGAGACTTAAGACTGGTTGAGTGTGATAGTACATGCCTGTAATTCTAGTATTTGAGAAGCTAAGTCAGGGTCACAAGTTTGATACCAGTATGGATTGATTATACAGTGAGTTGCAGTTAGGGTTACATAGTGAGGCCCAATCTGAAAAATAAATAATGAATACACAAACAACCACAACAACAACAAACACAAGACTTGATAGGTTTCAGATCGAATTTCTGTGTCTTAAAGTTCCAATATTTTAAGTTGGATGCTGGTGGCTCACCCCTATAAATCCTAGCTACTCAGGAAGCTGAGATCCGAGGATTGTGGTTTGAAGGCAGCCTGGGACTGGAAGGTCCAAGAGACTCTTATCTCCAATAAACTACTGAGAAAAAAGCCAGAAGTGGCACTGTGGCTTAAAACGTGAGCTCTGAGCAAAAGCAGCTCAGGAACAATGCCCAGGCCCCTGAGTTCAAGCCCTGGATGTGCAAAAAGAAAAAAAAAAAGTTCCAAAAATTTTGAAATTAAAGTTTAGGTCCATTGCTCTACAAATGTTCAACAACAATAACAACAACACCCTTCAATATTCAAAAATCTTCCTGGGGGGTGGGGGGAAAGTATACTGTAGGATATAAATGTTGAACATCAGCCTTTGTTTTGTAATCTATTTGCACTAAAAAACAAAAAAAATCCATCAAAACAACAATAACACAAAACACAAAAATTTACCCAGCGGTAAAAACCTTAAATTTACCTACGTACTGTGACCCCTGTATCACAGGGAAAGGGGGAAGGCTGAACCTGGTCCTTCATTTGCTATTTACATCAAGTTCAGATACAGCTCACGTGGGGTCTGCATCTTTTGTGTTCCCACAAAGTAACCTAACCCAGCAGGGTTCCCCCTAAACTAGGCCACAGGAGGGCCTGATCTGTCCCAATACATCAATACATGGGGAGGTGTGGGGGGGGAGCCTGGACCACTGGGAAAAGGGCAGACCATACTCCAAAAAAAGAATCTTCTTCGTAGACCACAAGGCTGCTGGCCCCAGGTCACCCGAGGACTGATAACCTGTAAGATCCCAGCTAGACTCAGAAGCCTGAGATCCGAGGATCTCGGTTCGAAGCCCGCTAGGACGGGAGAGTTGGTGAGACCCTTTTGAACAATTAACCAAGAAAAAAAAAAAAACAACCATAAGTAGTTCAAGTGGTAGAGCACCAGCTTTGAGCAAAAAGAAAAAAAGCTCCTGACCAAGGCTCAAGGCCTGAAATTGCAGCCCTAGGACCAGCACCCCCCAAAATAAAAGTAAACTAAAAGGGAAGCTGCCCCAGGACACATCCTCATGGCTCTGTTTATCTGGGCTGTGACAGACTTCCATCTGTCCCCCAGATCCCCCATTTCTCCCCAGGCCCTCCCCCCCGCCCCAGCCCCCTACAAAAGCAATTTCCAGGTGGGGAAGGATCCAATTCAAACACAGAATGCAGGGCGGTGAAGATCACAGTCATTTTTCTGGGGGCAGGGGCTGTGGATTTTCTCCAGCGGACTCCCCCTCCCCACAACGCCGTCCCCCCCAAAAAAGACTGAAGTCAACAGGCCGCGCCCCAGCGCCTCTCTGACCCGGGCTCACCCCCACCACCACCATCCCCACATTTGATTGACAAGCCGGCTCGCCCAATCCCAAAGCGGCTCAGACGGCCGTTACGTCCGACACCGGAGGCGGGGAAAGGCGTGGAAGCGGCCCATGCGATTGGCCGGGGAGTGAGTTTCCTGCCTCTGGGTCCCGCCCCGCCCCGCGCGCGGCCCGCCCCCCGCCTCTCCCCC